CATGATCAAATTTGCTCCTGCAGGGGAAAAAAATTCTTCCTGATCCCCCAAGAGGCAATTGGATTTTTCCTGGACCAACTTTACCTATAAATATTAGCATCCAGTTATATTGTGTGCTTCTAGGAAAGAATCCAGGCCTTTTTAAAGCAATCCACTGAGCTGACCAAAACCAACTCTTGAGGGAGTCTATTCCACATTCTCACAGCTCTCACTGTGAAGAAACCTTTCCGTATCTAGAGATTACATTTCTTTTTCTCCAGATGTAAAGAGTGCCCCCTTGTCCTCTGTGATGACCTCAGGGTGAATAACTCTACACCGAGTTCACTATATGAACCACTTATGTATTTATACATGTTGATCATATCCTCCCTTAATCTCCTCTTCTCAAGAGAGAATACATTCAGTTCCTCTAAACTTTCCTCATAGCTGAGCTCCTCCATTCCTCTTATCAGTTTGGTTGCCCTTCTCTGCACTTCAGTTCCCCAATGTTCTTTTTGTGAATTTGTGCCCAAAACTGAACTGCATATTCCAGATGAGGTGTTACTAATGATATGTACAATGATAGCTCTCTCTCTCTCTGGAGTCTATACCTCTTTTAATACAAGAGAGGATTTTGCTCACTTTAGAAACCGCAGCTTGGCATTGCATTCCATTATTAAGCTTATCATCTACCAGAATCCACCATTGATTCCCCCAGCTGTACTCCCCCTAGTATGTATGATGCATGCATATTCTTAGCCCCCAAGTGCATAACCTTACATTTATCAACATTAAACCTTATTTGCCACATAGTTGCCCAATTAAACAGTACATTGAGGTCGGCTTGTAAGTTGGAAACATCCTGTAAGGACATTATTCCACTGCACAGCTTGGTGTCATCTGCAAAGAATGAAACAGTATTTTTAATCCCAGACCCTATATTGTTTGTACATATATTAAAAGGTAAGGGTCCTAACACTGAACCTTGGGGTACACCACTAACAACCCTAGACCATGCAGAGTATGAATCATTAACCACTACGTTCTGAATACGATCTTTTAGCCAGTTTTTTCTATCCAACTACATACAGATTCTTCCAAGCCTGTAGACTTTACCTTACACATTACACTGTTCAACAGGTAAAAAGTTTTGGGAATAAAATTAGCTAATCTTACATAATTTTGGGGTGCTGAAAACGAAAATGACCCTAAAAAATGTTGATTGGCTCAAGTTTCCATGATATATTCACCCATCTAATGACGTAAGCCATTCAAAATTATGATGCAACTTCAGCTGTATATTGCGCAATTGATACTGGTGACCAATAGAAAATTGCATGTATACTGAGATGATGCAATATTAGCCTTTAATTGCATCACTTCACTGCATAAAAGCTGCAGTATCTGTAGCTGATTGGAGTTCGACAGCGTCTTTACATTTCGTTTTATGCTTATATAGGCTACTCAGTAATGCCTCGAACTTGTGTGAATAAAGCAGATAATTTCTGCTATATCTGCGGTGAAATAACTTTTATCTCACAAAAAAGGAGGATAACAGGAATGATTAAGAAAGCCTACAACTTGTATTTTGGCTGCAAGATAGGAGACCAGGACAAGAGCTGGGCACCACATATATGCTGCAATTCTTGTGGGACGGCACTGGAGCAATGGTTGAATGGAAAAAAGGCATCTATGCCTTTCGCTGTGCCAATGATTTGGAGAGAGCCAACAGATCATGTTAGTAATTGTTACTCTTGTATGGTGCCTCCAATTGTAAAAGGGCTAATTAAGAAGAAAAAGTTATCTGTGCACTATCCAAATATTCCATCGACAATACGTCCAGTTCCTCATGGAGAGGGGCTACCAATTCCTAAAGCACCAGAATCCTTCGTGGTTGAGTCAAGTGAGGAAGAACCTGAAGCGTGTAGTCACGTGCAGTTGTAAGAGATAGCCTTTTCCTCGAATACAAGAGAAAAGCCAAGAGAAGCAAAAACCGACACAAACTGAAGACAAAACTAGTGAGAATCCTAAGTATTAAAATGATTCAACTTAGCTTATGGCTATAATTTTTCTTGGTAATCCTATGCAATATATTATGCCATTTAGGCTTTGTTATGTAGTCAATATCACTTGCTTTATATTTGTGGAAAGACATCTATCTATATAATTATTGTGCATTATGTAGTCATTACGCCTATAGTAGAAAACTTTCCGTTTACAGAAAAACTAGAGCCAATTGACAAATTTCATTGTTATATTTGAACTCAGAATGTGAAATTCATTAAGAAATGGATCCTTTTGTTTCCAAAACTGGCAAAAAATAAAAATTTGTTGAACAGTGTTATCCGTGTGTGGGGAACTGTGTCAAACGCTTTTGCAAAATCCAAGTATGCCACATCCACCGCCACCCCTCTGTCCAAGGTTTTGTTCACCTCCTCATAAAATGAAATCAGATTTGTCTGACAACTTTGTCAGAGCCTGTTGGGGAGGGGGGTGACCCTTTCCTCCAATTAGCTCACAGAGCTCTGTGTTCTAGCTCTGCAGTGTGTGTGATATCAGATCCTCACCCCCTGCTTAATGCTGCTGTATAAAATGTGCGTTTTGAAAGATTGTGAAGAATAGAGGCCAATGGATAAATTATGTAGGAGGATTTGTTTCACCCCACTTTACTGCGTATAGGTAATAATTTATAGCCACTTTATAGCAGAAACTAAGCTGGAGCAGTGAAGCAGGGTCCCCAGAGCACTTGCCATAATGTGAAATGTGCATGGCATACAAAATCCGTCTTCCAAAATTCAACCTAATTGCATTTTTTTCAGTTAAGTTCTGCTTTAAACTATTTTATTTATGTATTTCAGGTACTTATATAGTGCCATCAATTTACGCAGCACTTTACATATATGTTGTACATTCACACCAGTCCCTAACCCTCAAGGGGCGTGCAATCTAAGGTCTCTAACTCACATTCATACATGCACATACTAGGGCCAATTCAAACAGGATTTAAATAACATTCTAGCATGTCTTTTGGAGCGTGGGAGGAAACCAGAGTACCCGGAGGAAGCCCACGCAGGCACAGGGAGAACATGCAAACTCCAGGCAGGTGGTGCTATGGTAAGGATTACGAACCAATGAACCTAGTACTGCCAGGTGGAAGTGCTGCAGGGCAAAGCAATATATTTGCTTTAACTCCACCCTCAAAACCAACACATACCCATTTTCTGTTTGCTTTCCTGGTATTTTGCTACCTGAAAGGCTACAAAAGTGCTGGGCAAGTTCCGAATCACTCTTGTCAGAGCCAGGGGCATATTTACTGCGAGGCAAACAAGGCGTTTGCCTAAGGCGGCATTTTTTTCAGGGGGGTGGCGTGGCACCACCCCCCTCTTCAGAAGTGACACAGGACACAGAGTGATCTGAGTGCTGGGAATGGGAGTGGCCAGCACTTAGCTCTGCTCATTGTGTGTGCAATGGGCAGGCAGACCAAAGCAGGGTCCATTGGCAGGGGCACCACAGCTGACACCGCACCAGCAACACTGATCTGCAGCTCTGTCCCCGGCTGGCTCCCAGCAGAGCACACTGAAGCCACTTCCCTCTCCTCTGCTGTCTACATGTACATGGGAGGAGGAGGAGGAGAGACACCGCTGTGCATGTCTGTGCTGATCTGAGGTCTGTACCATTTTTTTTTATGTTGTTCTTGGGAAGAGGAGGGGGACAAAGTGACCGGGAGGGGGGGGTTAAAAAAATTAGTGATTGGGGGGGTTAAGAGGATATATGCTGGGAGGCGCTCTTTGGGAGGGGAGAAGATCTATGCTAGAAGTTGGTTTTGGATTTGAAATCTGACCCGACACAAGAGCACAAGCCCTCTCCCCTCCCAAAGTGCCCTCCCAGCAAATATCCAACCCCCACCCCACCAGCCTACTAGTACAAGTGGAGGGGGGACTGTACTGAGAGAGGGGGGTCTATAATGATGGAGAAGGGTCTGTACTTAGTGGGAGGGGGGTCTATACTGAGGGAGGGGCCATCTGTACTGAGGGCGGCTATACCTGGTGGGAAGGGGTTCTGTACTGACGGGGGTCTAAACTTGGTGTAGAGCAGGAGCATATTTACCATGAGGCACCATTTTTCGGGGGGGGGGGGGGGAGGTACCATTGGGGCAGGGAAGTGGAGGGGTGGGTGCAGCGGTCGATTTTTGTGTTGCCTAGGGCAGCACAAAACCTAAATACACCACTGGTCAGAGCTTTCATAGGACGGAGAGCTCTCTTTCCACCCCATGTGACAGGGCAACTCATCAAGCACTAGTGCAATCACATGAGAGGAAGTGATCGATACCCAGACGTAATATACTTTTTTCACTCCTGGCAGCTAAACAGAGAGGTAGTAAAGGAAACTCCAGGCAGACATAAAAACCTAGTAGTATACACCCCCTTTTCCTCAGATAGGGAGTTTTAAATGTTCATGTAGTCTTTTGGCAATTTAAAGTAGAGAAATACCTACCTTATTGCTTGGTCCCACAAGCTTGCTCCCTGCCATATGACCAGTTCCACAAAACAGTTCCTTTTTACCTGTCCACATTGTAGGAACAGAAGAGAGTGCCAGTTTCTGGGGCAGCTAGGAGATAGGTAAATATTCCTTTACTTGAAACCTGCCCTACACTAAACCATCATTTAAACCTTGTTATATGGGGGTGTGGCGGAGGGGTTACATACTACGAAATGTGTATGGCTGACTAAAGTTCAGCTTTAAATAAGGACTTCCTTAGAGAACCAAGGGCATATTTAACTACTTGCCGACCGCAGATAGCCGAATGACGGCTACACTGCGGCCGGCCAGTTCTGGGTGGGCGTCATATTACGTCCCCCAGAACGCGCTCTACTGCACGCCCCCGGGGGCGTGTACCCAGCGATCTCCATGATCGCTGTGTCCTACGGACACAGCTGATCACGTGATGTGGTAAAAGGCCAATCACAGCGGCCTTTTACCACGTGATCAGCCGTGTCCAATGACACGCTGATCACCGAGAAATGCAATTTCCGGTTCTCGGCTGCACTTTCCTCAAGCTGTCAGATCGTGAGGAAAGTACTACCAAGAACCGGCAGTTGTTAGAGCAGGGATTGGCACCGATCATCAGGGCACTAATGATCAGTGCCCTGATGATCGGTGCTCAGCAGTGCCACCCACAAGTTCCGCCCACCTGTGCCCAGCAGTGCGCCCACTAGCTCCTCCCACCTGTGCCCAATAGCTCCGCCCACATGTGCCCAGCAGTGCACCCACCTGTGCCACCCAGCAGTGCCACCCACCTGTGCCCACCAGTGCCACCCCACCTGTGCCTACCAGTGTCACCCACCTGTGCCCACCAGTGCCACCCACCAGTGCCCATCAGTGCAGCCCAGCAGTGCTGCCAGTCAGTGCCACCAGTCAGTGCACAACGGTTGTGCCCAGCAGTGCCGCCAGTCAGTGCCCAGGAGTGATGCCAGTCAGTGCCACCTATCAGTGCTGTCTATCAGTACCCTTCATCAGTGCTGCCTACCAGTGCCGCCTGTCAGTGCCGCATATCAGTGCCGCCTATCCGTTAAACCTCATTAGTGCTGCCTATCAGTGCCATCTATCCGTGCCACCTCATTAGTGCTGCCCATCAGTGCTGCCTATAAGTGCCCTTCAGTGCTGCCTATCAGTGCCCATCAGTGCTGCCTATCCGTGCCCATCAGTGCTGCCTCATCAATGCACATCAGTGAAGGAGAAAAATTACCTGTTTGAAAAATTTTATAATAGAAACAAATAAACTTTTTTTTTTTTTTCAAATTTTTTGCACTTTTTTTGTTTATAGCGCAAAAAGTAAAGCGCCCAGCGGCGATTAAATACCACCAAAAGAAAGAGAAGAGAAAAAATAATAAAAATTTCATATGGGTACAATCTTGCATGACCGCGCAATTGTCAATCAAAGTGCGACAGCGCTGAAAGCTGAAAATTGGCCTGGTAAAGAAGGGGGTATAAGTGCCCGGTAGGCAAGTGGTTAAAAAGCAGTGAATGTCATCTTCATCAACCATCCCCTGGTGTTGAATCAGTTAATTATTTAAACACATGCACCTGAAAGATCCACCTGCATTGGATGCTTAGTGAATTTCAGATTCACTGATTTTCATATATTGTGGAAAATGTGGTTACTGTTGTACTATTTTACTATTTTAGCCAGTTCACTGTCAGCACACAACCAACAAAAAATGTTCAAAACTTCTTTTTCACACTTTATATTTACTTGCCCCACTCCCATAACAATACCAATGGAGTTTATTTACTAAAGCTGGTTCACTCAGAATCTTGTGCACTTCTATATGGAAACCAACCAGCTTCCAGGTTTTATTGCTAAAGCTTAAATGAACAGGCTGAGGTTAGAAGCTGATTGGCTGCCATGCACAGGTGCACAAGATTCTGAATGAACCAACTTTAGTAAATAAATCCAAATGAATAAGTATAAAAATGATTAAAACCACAGAAAGGTCTCACACCCCAGGTTTTACTAGAGCTACAGATGCCGTTACAGACTTAATCTTCACTTATGCTATTAGTGAAATCTGCCTTTGTCCTGTAGCTATAATATATTGTGAATCTCTGTGGGTGACCTGGGGAATGAAAGTCCTGCTGTTGTATTCCATATTGCTGTGGGAGCAATAGAGGGACCCACTTCACTACCGCCAAGAAAATTTTCTATCAAGGGTTTTACTTCCATAATGTTTATATCTTAAAACAGGTTTGTGCATTGGAATCTAAAAAAAAAGACAGATTATATAGGCAAACTAAAGGTTAGGCTATTCTTTACTGTTCCCTTATATTATTGTATCTGTGGCAGGTGGTCTGTTTAAATGCAGCCCCTACTGTATCTGAGCAGCAAAGAGCACTATGCATATTATGCTAATTATAATGAATTTCATAGCCATGTTTCCTAGTATCCATCATGTATTAGTATTAAGGTTAATAGGATACGGGGGTCAGTATTATTAATTCTAATTTATTTTGAGGTTAAATTGCAATGTAGTATTTGCCAACCTTACATGCTGCGTTGTTTGAAGTCAGGTTGTGTCACTTCTAATTACAGGTGTTCTGCAGAAATTTTACACCAGGGTATTATCACTTCATTACTTTCTTCTCATCTGTTTTTTTTTTTTTGTTCTCATATTATAAATCAGCTCTTGCTTATATTGCTTATGGAATAATGGTGCATTTCAATGTAATCACTATGGAACATTAATTCTGCAGGCAGGATGCTGTGGTAGATTTGCTTCAGTAAGTAAGCAAATACACTTTTTTCCTTAAAAGGTGATCAGTTAAGCATAATGCGTTTGCTGCATTATTGCTGTTTTCTTGTTGACATTTTTACTTCCTAAAATTATATTTTTCTGCTTTGCGTTAATAGGTACATATATATAAAGACACCAGATAAAGATGGATATTTATTAGACTTGCCACCTTTACTCTTGAAAGATACATGAGCAAAAGAGACTCACCAGCACTCATTAATCACAAGTTTTATTTTTAATGCCATAGCAGATAATAGAGACACTGTTTAATAAGAAGCCCTAATTTAACTGATGTGGAAGCATCACCCTTAGGCTAAAACCATAGAATGGTAATCTATAAAACAATTACTTTCATATGGTATTCTGAATTATAAATAAGAGCAAGAAGAAATAGGCAGTTTTGAAGATTTGCTTTAAAAAGAAAGAATATTGAATGCATAGAAGTTATATTTCATAGCTTAAATTAAGTATGCTAAAACAATGAAGCTAGAAATCAAACTACTGAACAAAATACCGTGCCTATAACTGTGATGCAAGCAATTTGCTGCTTTGAACAGAATAGTGCAAAAGAAATAATTATTTTATGATTGGAATGCTATCTAAGGTTATCCATGTTGTTAGTAAACTGTTTGGAACAATTGGGTAGGATAAAACAACAGGGGTACAGAAATGTCAACATTATCCAGCCACATGAGATCAGAGGGTCCCAGCTGCAATTTAATTTTTCTGTTCTGTTCTATTTTTTACCCCTTGACAGATTTGTTGAGATCATCCTGGTTCTGGGGTTAGGCCATTATCTAAATAATGTATATGCATATGTCTCTGTAGAAACTTGGAAATAAAATTAGACTGTAAGTAGGTGATCAGATAATTATCTAAATGATTTTGTTCTCTGCAAATTTTGTCATTCAATATGAATTAATTAAAAACAAAATAATTTCTTGCACACTGCTGCTAGTATGGACAATGAAAGGACAGTGCAGGGATGCATATCTAGTATCCCTCCTCTATTTTATCAGTGTCTATAGCAACAGGAAACAGCTAAAGGACTATAAACCAAGTGGAAAATACCTTAAAGCGGAGTTCTACTCACCTTGTTAAAAAGTAAAAGTCAGCAGCTACAAAAACTGTAGCTGCTGACTTTTTAAAAAAACAGCCATTTACCTGTCCCTTGGTCCTGCGGTGTGTCCCCCACAGCTCGTTTCACCCACCGTCCTGTATTCCAGGAGGCCGGCATCTTCAGTGTGGGCACCCGGCTGTGGCAGCTTGCGGCTTCACAGCCGGATACCCACTGTGCATGGGCGAGTAACGCTGCACTTCATGAATGGTCCTGTAGTCTTCTGGGACCTGTCACGTGTCTCAAAAGACTAAAGAGAGGGAGGGAGGACACCTTCCACTTCCGGTTGCCTAGACGATCGGACCGGAAGTGGGAGAGAGTACCTCTCAAATTTGGGTACCGGCTCCCCCCCGCCCCCCAAAGGTGCCAATCCTTAATGGTGAGCGGGGGGAGCAGTCCTTAAAGCAGAACTTCCCCTTTTGGGTGGAGCTCCGCTTTAAAGTGAAACAAGATTCTCACCTTTCCTTATAATAAGAGACCTTTCCCCCAGGTATGCCTCTTAAAGTTGGTCATGAAAAAGCTATCAAATTAAGTAATGGTAAGCATGACAGAAAGTTTCAATTAGTGTTGAACAGACACCTTTGCAAGCAGTGGTAACCAAGCATATACTGCACCCAGGGTAGATTGTTATTTACACATTTAGCAATACTTAAAACACAAATTTGAGTAACAATCATGAATGTAAACATCACGCACACAGAGCGGAAGTTGAATTAGCTGAACTTAGCTTATCAATCCATCAGATGTTCAGGAGCTCAGAGATTATATCTCTTGCATAGTTGCCAACATCTGAAAATAGTTAGTACACCTTAACATGAAGAAGAACATTGTTCACTAAACACCTAGAGATGTGACCAATAAACTGAGTGTCTCTTTACAGTGTGTGGCTTGTAGTGTGGGAGTAACATAAGCCCCATCACTGGTGTCAGTGGCATTAATGTTCCCAGCATTGGGGTTCAGTGATAGGCTGTAATAATAGCCTCTTCAGGACAGGTGGTCATTGGCAAGCTGTACTAATAACCGCCACAACACTGGTGGTCAATGGCAGACTGTCCACCAATCTTGGGAGGGGGGCAGCATTAGCAGGCTGTAATATCTCCTCCCAGCATTAAGGGTCAGTGGCAGGCTGTAATAATATCCCCTCCCTCCAATATTGGTGATCAGTGGCAAGCTATATAAATAACCCCCTCCCAACACTGGCTGCTGGTCAGTGGCAATCTGTAATAATAACGTCCTCAGCATTGGTGGTCAGTAGCAGGCTGTAATAATAACCTCCCAGTCTTGGCTGTCAGTGGCAGACTGTATTAATACAATATGTCCCCTCCCCCAGAGGCGATGGTATTCAGTGATTTACACATCTGAGATCACTCCTCTTGACAGTTCTGGCTTTGTTCAGAGGCATGTCATTGGCAGCAGCACCAGGACACCCTCTAGGTGGCTTTACTGAGTTTGGACCTCAAAGCCCTCTTTCTCCCTCTCAGGAACACAGTTGCGTGCCAGTATTCACATAGCTCTGTACATAGATTGCATCCAGTTTAGAGGTATTGATGCAGCAATGCAATTTCTGTAGGCATGCCCAAGCACCAGAACCAGAATATGTCATACTGTATCTATCCTTCAACTCATTAGTGAATGTGAAAATGTAGTGTTTATTTATGGCTGCTTTTGTAAAATATTGTGCTACAACATAAAAATAATTTTAAGAAGACCTCTTAAGTCAACAGGTGACATTAGGTTCACTGGTGCCCTTGCTGCTCCCATTATTTGATATACCATTTGAACAAAAATAGTGAAAGGTCCAAGGCAGTGGTCTCCTAACTGCGGCCCTTTGCTTGCCTGTATGTGGCCCTTGGGGCACTGTTCTTCCCACTGATATGAGGCAGTATTCCTCCCACTGACACCAACAATAAGTTACCATTCTTCCCACAGACACCAACTGTAGGATACTATTCCTCCCACTGACACCAATAATGGAGCACTATTCCTCCTACTGACACCAATGATGGGGCACTATTCCTCCCACTGACAACAATGATGGGCTACTATTTCTCCCACTGACACCACCAATGGGACACTATTCCTTCCACTGACACCAACAATGGGAAACTATTCCTCCCACTGACACCAATGATGGGACACTTCCTCCTACTGACACCAATGATGGAGCACTATTCC